CAACTTGAATTGCAACCAGAGTCATGGAACGGATTAGGTTCGTAACTAGAGGTACCACTGTACTTGGATGGGAAACTGCATAGAAATCCCAAGGCCATATGCAAGAAGTTGAAACCACATCGTAGAAGGCTGCAATGGCAAACCACTTTCATACTGTTGACAAAAATCTGACCATTTTGACAATGGACAAGTCCATGTAGTCCTCAAGATTCAAGCTTGAAAGTCTTCACCATTTTATATATAAAATAAAAACAAACTATTCAAGGTCTGGGAAAGGGTACCCTAATGTCTAAGATGCCTCCTTGCTTCTTTACTATCGGTTGAACTCCTTTCAATAAAAAATTCTTCTCAGTGCACCTCACATAAAAAAGGAAGACTCTCAAACTTAATTAAAATATGAACAATGCAAATCTAAGCAGTAGTAACAAATAGAACAAAAAGGCCGCAAAATCTTAGCAGCCCGATTAATGCTGCCAAGTATAAATATAAACGTAAAACTGACAAGCATGAAGATAGTCTCCTTGGAAAGCCTAGAGGTTTTTGCCTTGTGCAGAAAACACCAGAAAGACCCTTCTGGGGGGAGCCTCTTTGACGCCCTCCCCTGGCTCCCAAAGGCCTTGGGACTCCTTGGTCTCCACCTGCATCCCTTGAGACTGGGGGGCTGAGAAAACTGGCACAGGAGCCATAAGTAAAGAAGGAAATCAGTGCTGACCACGTGTTAGCCTGAAGGGCTACTCTTACACTTACTCTTTCACTGGAGCCGGGGCATTTTCTGAGATACTGGTGGCTGGAATAGGAGTGAAGCCAGGGGGTGGTTTACTAGGAGGCATCGATAGCCCAGGAGGGGGTGGGGGGCTACTAAGCAGCACCACAGAATTGAAACCTGAAAAATAGGAGGGAGAAAGTCAAGTAGTTAGAGCCAACACTGATGGCCCCCACAGGCTGCATTTTATTCATTGCTCTTTTGCCCTTGTTGTATCCTAACAATGACCCCAGTTCAATAAAGGTTTTATAAAGCCAAGCGGTATAAGAAAATCAGGTAAGAAGATACGTGACTCAGTGACGGAAGGTGTCTGAGCGACGGGGCAAGATCCGGGGGGGCTCCTGATCTGGAGGAGGAGATGACCCCGAGTAAATGGTTAAGATCTGAGCCAGCAGCTGCATCTACTACATGCCTGACCAGCTCTCAATCCAAGGCTTGTGAAATGTCTCCCATCATTACCCAAGTGATTTCAGACCCATCTATGCAGCCATAAAGCATTAGAAACTTAGGCCACAGCTTCCCAAAGCCAAATTCAACAACTGTTGCCACATTTTGCTTTCCTACAACTCTGCCAGGCCCTTTTCCAAACCAAGCATTTAAGGAGGAGCACCTACAGCCCTTACCCGGAGGTGGAGGCATCCGAGGTGGCCCGGCGTTCCCAAGGGCTGGAAAGTCTTCCTGAGGCAACAGGCACTGGCCACCCACCGGTGGTTTCTTAAGGCCAGGGGGCTCTTTGGAAGCATTGCACAGCAGCATGGACTTTTCTGAGTGACCATTCACCAGAGCGGCAGATGCACTGGGAAGGTTAGGACTGGCAGCGACAGTCGAGGGGTGCTCAGCGTCTGCTGCCTTCTCTGCAGAGGGGAGGGAGGCTGGCATCTCCTGCAACGTGGGTGGCGAGGCTGTTCTCAGCTTCTCAGTCCCAACTTTCTTCTTCTTACCCACTTTGACAAAAGTCTGAGAGTTGGAGGCTGCCAGCAACGAGGACACGTCCACCATTGTTGGCACACTACGGATCTCCTGAGTGGTTATGCTGCCACCGCTGTCCTGCGTGTCATTAGAAAGCATCACCTTGCTCTTTTTGCTTGCTTTACTGCTGCCAGCAGAGGCACCTTTTCTGGTTGGCTGGCTGGCACTACTGGCAGTGGCTGTGATGGCTCTGGCCATGTTCTTACTGGAGCCACCACTCCAGGCCGAGGCGAGGGTCGACACCATCTTACTGCCCGGCCGGACTTTGGAGACCAAGGCGGGGAAGTCCTCCTCTTGAAATGCTGTCTTTTGGGCTGTAGCTGTGTACGACAAGGGCATGGCAGCCGAGACCACAGGGGGAGCAGAGGAAATGGAGAGACTAGGAAAGTCCTCTTCATCAAGTTTTACTGACGCCAACTGAGATGAGCTGAAAGAGAAACCGCTTATGAAGGACATCTCCCCCCACCCCCTCCTCACAGTCTTAAGGTAGAGATGCTCATCTGTGACTCCATTCTGCTATTTGGGGGTGGGGGAGCGAGATACAGGCTGGTGTGAGACTCCTTCTAAGCTCAGCTCAAGTCAGAGAGGACTCAGAGGGCAGAGAGCAGAAGTGCAGTCTAGACCCAAGTGCATCAGTGACTACTGGAGGTTTCAAGGCAAACACTCTGGGTGGCTTTAAAAAGGCACAAATGTTTTGTAGACTTCCAGAGGGGAGCAATTTTAGTCACCAGGGGCAACCCTAACAAACATGCGAGGCTGAGTTCTTTCCCGCACCAGCAGGAGAAAGCAGAAGCAGCCTCACCATCACTAGCACTACCAGACATCCAGGCCAGAGGGAGGCTTCCTAGAGTAAGCACAGGGCACATGCTGACCTTCGCCTCACAACTTATATCTGAAGATTCAAGTTGGACCAGCTAGTGTGAGGAAATGGATCCAGGTTTGGAGGGAGGAACAGGGGTGTCTGTGCGGACTGCGTAAAGAACCATCACCACTAGAGATGGGAGAGGTGTCTTGATGTTGCCTTAGCCGTTATGCTGTGAAGACAGAAGTCTGACCTGTTTCTGCAAGGTCTTCCTCACAGCTGGTGAGGAGAATTCCTGACCTTTCGGCCAGCTTATTTCTCCACACAATCCAAGACTCACCTCTGCACAGAGTTCACAGCTGGCGAGCCAATGGCAGGAAAGTCATCTTGGCTTAAGGCAGCCTTAGGAACCGCTTCTTTAGGAACTTAGGAAAAACAGAGAAAACAGTCTAACCAAGAGGGTCATTGAGAACTCCTTGAGGGCTTTTGGCCAGCAAGGCAATCCTCTCTCCAATACGAAGAAGCCCTGTGTCTGAGAGAGACCACCACAGCTTTTCAGGACAGAGAGGGGGCTCACCTGGTGCTTCGGATGAAGGCTTCAGCCCTCGCTTAGAGTTAGTAGCGTCAGGATCTTTGGCATCTTCCTTCTTGGCCCGGGAATTGTCTTCTTTGTCCTCCACTCGTTTTTTCTCTTCTTGCCTTTTGGCAGCTACTGATGCCCGAACAGCTGCGGCAATGTCTCGGTCTTCTTCTTCTCTGCAGAGTTTTTTGAAACAACACAATCAAAATGGGTATTTCCCAGTGTGCATTCCAAGTTCCTGACCACCTAAATGGAAGCCCCCAAACAACTGTTGCTCTTACCTCTTGTATCGCCAGCTGCCTCTCCTGTTTTGTTGCCCACCTCGTGGTCCTGATCTGCCTCCTCTCACCTGCCTGTTATACCTATCGACTTCCTCATAGTCTTCACCGCTCACAACACCTGGAACATAAACACAACACCAAAAAAAAAATCTAGAAAAATGAAAGCCGAATTCTAAGCTTGACTTATATGCAAGTCAACTTAGTTAATGTATTTATTCTGCATCTCCTGGTCAGAAGGGAGCGCAGAAGATATTGTCATCCTGGCATCCACAATTTCACCAGGCAAATCCTTCAAACCGTTAGGACTGGAATCTTGAAATCTGAAATACTAAAGTTAAGATTCTGAAAAAAATTGCATTTTTCACTAAACATCTGAGCAGGTATTCTGTGCTTTTTTCTACACGATCAGAAAAGAGTCCTCAAAGGAAAGGTGAAGAGTAAATGAAAGGGCAAATCAGAAAAACAGTGACACCCAGGCATGCCGAGAAGAACCGAGGAGGCATTTCCGGCCACCAGACAGTCCCTCCCCTCCCCGCCCTCTCTCCAACCCAGCATACCCTCACTTCTCCGCTGATGTCTTGGCGCGTAGTTGAACTGCAGGTCAATCTGCCGATTCTGCCTGGCTTCAGCCCGGTTTTTGCTGTGACAGGCTGTCTTGTGTGCTTTGTAGTCAATTTCGGTCCGAAAGGCGTGGGTGAATTGCTCAGTGCTGCACCGGCCTTCTTCGCAGAGGAAGTGCTTCTCCCGGAAGTGCTCACGGAGATACTCATAATCGCTGCAACCGGGATATAGAAACACAGCACGTTGGTGCGTGGGGGGGCTCCATTTCACTCTCAGATGGAGCCAGTGAGGGAAAGGGAGGGCCAACCCAAAGTTATTCCAAACTGAGCCAATTTCTTGAAGGATCCTGCAATCTCATTAATGTAATTTCAAGCACAAACCTTAAAATATCTTTTCGCAGGTATTTTTATCATAGAGTTAAAAGGGACATCAAAAGCCAGGTAGTCCAACCCGCTTCTTGTGCAGGATCTGCTAAACATTCTGGACAAAGGGCTATCCAGCCTATATCTGAAGAGTTTATGAGGCAACTAATGCACCATTTCAGCTGTCACCGTCAAGAAATTCCTCCCAACATGCGACCCAAATCAAAAGCCATTAGAGATCTGAAGACTGCTGTCATCTCTCTCCTCAGTCTTCTTTTCTACAGGCTAAACATACGTAGCTTCTTAAAGTGTTCCTTGGGGGACCTGTTTTCCAGTCCCCTCACTTTCTGAGGAGCCCTTCTCTGAACTCGCTCCAGTTTTGATACCAAGAACTGGGCACAGTATTCCACGGGAGGGGGCTGAGGTAGAGCAGAGTCCAGGGGGACAATCAGTTCTCATTATCTGGACTCTGAACTTCTGTTAATACATCTCAAAACAGCATTTGCTTTTTCACAGCTGCACCACACTATTGTCTCACATTCAACTTGTGATCTACTAGAACACCCAGTCCTTTTTCATGTGAACTAACCTATATACTTGAATTAGTTTTGATTTTCAGTACCTGCACTAAGCTAAGATAGTGCATTTATAAGTTCTATTATATCTTTCCTGTTATCTTCACTGTTTATCTTGTTATTTTTCACATTTTAAATAACTGCAATCCCTCTAGAGAATATTGGCAATCAGTCAGATTAACACAATAAGCAAATAAAGGAGAGGAGAGAATGAGGCTAGCTTGACTGTCAGCATGAAGACTGTTAACCGTGGCACGGCACGCAGAGCACATCATCTTGTGAGCTACTGCTGTCTCTCTCCAAGCCAATACCACCTCAGGTGGATGTCGCAAACTGTTCCAGGGTCAAAGGTATAGTGTGACCAACCGCTGTGACAGGAGGTTAGGACAGCCTTCTCCCCACCAGGACACCCTCCCAGAATTGTAGCCAAGCGTAGCAGTTGCGGAAAACTTTGAGAGCTGAAATTCACACGTCTGATGATGCCCAGGCTGGTGAAGGCTGTACTGATAGAAAAAGGACCCCAGACCTGTAACCCATCCACCGAAAGAACAGGGCTTCTACCTCCAGGCAAGGCATCTGTATCAAGAACCTAAGTGGAAAGGGCTGTGACTGTGGACAGTAAAGATGATGATCTTGATGGAAATATACAAGAACCATTACTTAGGGAAAAGGAGCTGAAACATTTTTAAAGTCCAGAACAACAAGGGAACACCCCGAAGCGTCTCAGGCAGACGCCTCCCTAATTCATTGAAGTATAAGGAGGAGGCGGTTTATGAAGTGGTTAAGATTGATGTCAGCCCCACTAGGGGGACCAGACCAGGAAACCAACTCCACAGGAAGGCTGAAACTACTTTTATTAAGACTGGCAATCTTGCAAGCCTGGTTATGCTGCACCTCCTCCTTTCTATAGTTCAGCATCTGCCTGAGCCATCTGGATATTTTTGTCAAGTTCTTCTTCCTTACTCTCTACAGTGGGAGTGAGCGAGAGTCACAGACCTGTAATATTCTTGAGCTCCATCAGAATCACAGAAGTGGCAGAAATAGTGGTCTCTCCTCAGGTGCTTTAGTAACTCATCATTATCCAAATATCGCTCGTCACAAAATTTACACAGGGGATGGCCACGGTGAGATGTGTCATCAGGATCCCCATGGATTCTGTGCCGAGCAAGATCCTTGCGCGAATACCATTTGCGCTCATATGTAAAGATCTGGAATACAAGATGGAACATCCTTCATTTTCAGTAGAAATAAGTCCAAGTTCACCTCAACCCCTTTCATCCTGTGTAACTCTCAGCCACTTGCCTTCAGATGCTTCACACAGAGCTTGCAGCAAAAGAGCTCATGCTGCTTCCTCATGTGCTGCTCCAAGTCTACAATGGTAGGAAATGCCCGGGATTCCAAGCACAGTGGGCATTCATGCTGCAAGAGTTTCCTAGGAGAAGAAAAGATGCTAAGGGACAACATTCACATACTGCAGGATGCTTCAACCACTCATATTAGTGCATCTTTCCTTCTGCAAGCACACTGATTGCATAGCAACTTTTAATTTTATTCTTTCTTCCTTCCCTATGGTCTGTGGCTGTTACTAAATAAATACATAAATGCAAGATTTCGCATAAAGAGCTAATATATTTATTTTGCATAATTCCTTCTGTACAGTGAAAGACTGGTTTTCTCACCAGAGAAGCCTTGCTTAGCTGCCTCTCTGACTCCTAAACATACTGATAAAGAGGCTAGTAGCCATCAGGTAAATAATTCTAGGTACAGGTCAGGCCACCTTATGAATGAATGAATGAATGAATGAATGAACGAATGAATGAACGAACGAACGAACACACACACACACACACAGTATAATAGTTCACATATGAAAGCAAAGATAAATTGTCACAATTCTTGCATTGGCACCTTAATAATTCATACTA